AACCCCCTCACACCGCGCCCCCCCTCACGGCCATACCTCCCCCGTCACACCGCGCCCCCCCTCACGGCCATACCTCCCCCCTCACACCGCGCCCCCCCTCACGGCCATACCTCCCCCCTCACACCGCGCCCCCCCACGGCCACACCCCTCTCGCACCGCGCCCCCCTCGCGCCCCCCAGGGTCTCTCTGGGAGCCGGCAGGGCTCAGGCCATTGCCCCCAGGAATTGTCAGTTACGTCCGTTAATGGAGCTTCTGGTTAGCCGGGTGCGGGAGCCGGAGCCCACTGTGCACCCTCTGTTTCCAGAGCTCTGGGTGTCTGGGTGCCTGGAGGGCTCGGGCTCTCCCCTCAGGGCCTCACCCCCCTCCCCCGGGTCCCTGCCGCCTGCAGCTTCATCTACTCGGTGCTGGTGATCGTCTCCGCGGCCCTCTACCTGGCAGGCGTGGAGGCGTACCTGGCCGTCATGGTGTTCGCCCTGGTGCTGGGCTGGATGAACGCCCTGTACTTCACGCGCGGCCTGAAGCTCACGGGCACCTACAGCATCATGATCCAGAAGGTGGGAGGCGGGGGCCTCTGAGCGGTCCCACCGGCAGGCGGTGGCCGTGCCCCCACGGGCAGGCGGGCGGGCGGGCGCGGGGCGGCGGGCCTGGCCCCGGGAGGGCCGGGGCGTGGGGAGGGGGTTGGGACCGAGCGTCGGGAGAGCGAGAAGCGCGTGTCTCACCCTGGCCTCTGCCCTCCCGCGGCGGCTGCAGATCCTCTTCAAAGACCTGTTCCGCTTCCTGCTGGTCTACCTGCTCTTCATGATCGGCTACGCGTCCGGTGAGCTGGGCGCCGGGGCTGTGGGGGGTGTGTGTGTGTGTGTGTGTGTGAGGACCAGCGGGCAGTGATGTGGGGAGCGTACGCAGCTGTGCGGGGTCCTCACGGCCTGCCGTGGCCGGGCTGAGGCCTCCCCACCCCGCCTCTTAGCTCTGCGACAAGCCTGGGAGGCAGCAGCCTTGGCTGTCTCCTCCCGCAGACAGGAAACAGGCTTAGGACCGCGACGTGACTTGCCCAGCGAGAGACTGGCATGTCGGCTGTTACTGCGAGACACCGATGAGCCGCGGGGGCTGCAGACAGCCGCCATGATACACCCTCCGGCTGGCTCCCAGGCCGGGTCGGCTCAGCTGGGGGCTGGGCGGGCGGCCTGGGCTGGCAGGGGACCTCTGGGGGGGACTTTGCTGTCCCCTGTGGTCACTCCTCCAGCAGCTCCCGGGGCTGGGCGCAGGGTGGCCTGGGGGGATCTCAGACGCGAGCGGAAGGGGCCGGGGTCACCTCCTGGCCCGGCATCACGTCCGCCCCCTCGACCGGCCAAAGCAGGACTGAGCGGCCTCGGTCAGAGGTGGGGACAGACTACAGGCGTCCTCAAACTTTTTAAAGTGGGGGCCAGATCACGGCCCCTGAGAGAGCTGGAGGGCCGGACTATATGAACTACTAATTCCTACTGTAACACCTCGGCTGCGCTCACTGCCCAAAAAACCTGGCGGGCCGGATCAGACTCCTCTGCGGGCCGATGTGGCCCGCGGGCCGTAGTTTGAAGACGCCTGGAGACCCTCCCAGACGGCACTGCAGAGCCACACGAAGGGGCGTGGCCACTGGGGAGAGTGAGTTTGCATAAGGGATCTTTCAGCTCAGGACGTTTTATTGTTTGTTTGTTTATTACTGATTTCAGAGAGGAAGGGAGAGGGAGAGGGAGAGAGAGAAACATCAATGAAGAGAGAATCATGGATCAGCTGCCTCCTGCATGCCCCCTCCTGGGGATTGTGCCCACAATCCAGGCATGCGCCCTGACCGGAAATCGAACCCTGACCTCCTGGCTCATAGGCCAGTGCTCACCACTGAGCCACACCGGTCGGGCAGCCCAGGTCCTTTTTAAAGCTCAATACTGGCTCCCTCAAATACGGCTTCTCCGTGATGTCATGGTGCCGCGGGACCCCCGCAGGTCAGGCTGGGGAGGGACAGGAGTGGGGAGAGGGACCAGGAGTGGGGATATGAACCATGCCCTCGGGCTGGTCCCGAGGGGGCGGCTGGCATCCGAAGGGAGTGGCCGGCCTCACTCGGCCTCACTGCCATCTGGGGGGGTGGTGGGGACCGCCCTGCCGCGGAGTGTGTGGCAGCGCTGTTGCAGCCCGGGGGGCGGGCTGTTTGGGAGCCAGAGCTGTAGCCTTTGCTGGGGGAGGGACCGGTGCAGCGGCCTCGCAGGGACGGACTGAGAAGACTGGCCAGAGTGTTGGGTTCCACGGTGGTTTCGGATTCGGGTCAAGTCCAGCCCCACTGCATCCTCATGGTAGAAACTGAGGCAGAAGCTGTGGTCGCAGCGGCAGCTGTGGCAGGCGTGGCCCCGGCGTCTGCCGCGGGACCCCCGCTGCCCAGCCTGAGACCGACAGGACGCGGGCGGCACACGTGCGCGTGTTCTGCACGTTCGTGCCGCGACAGGCATTGCCAGTGGGTCACAGAGCTGCTTTTCTGATGAGTCCAGACGGGACTTCAGAATCCTTCTCAACACACATCCAGCGGCCACTGCGCACCTCCCTGGGCGGGCACGACCTGTGGCCCCGGCGGAAGGCACGGCGGCCCTCGAAGCCCCTGAGCGCAGGGCTCGGCCCGCGGCCCGCTGCCCGGGGCCCGGGGCCCGGGGCCCGCTGCCCGCTGCCCGGGGCCCGCGGCCCGCTTGACCGGGGCCCGCTGCCCGCTGCCTGCTGCCCGGGGCCCGCTGCCCGCTGCCCGGGGCCCGCTGCCCGCTGCCCGCTGCCCGGGGCCCGCTGCCCGCTGCCCGGGGCCCGCTGCCCGCTGCCCGGGGCCCGGGGCCCGCTGCCCGCTGCCCGCTGCCCGCTGCCCGGGGCCCGCTGCCCGCTGCCCGGGCCCGCTGCCCGGGGGCCCGCTGCCCGCTGCCGGGGCCCGCTGCCCGCTGCCCGGGCCCGCTGCCCGGGGCCCGCTGCCCGCTGCCCGCTGCCCGGGGCCGGCCGTGGCTGCTGCCCGCTGCCCGCTGCCCGGGGCCCGCTGCCCGCTGCCCGGGGCCGGGGCCCGCTGCCCGCTGCCCGCTGCCCGCTGCCCGGGGCCCGCTGCCCGCTGCCCGGGGCCCGCTGCCCGCTGCCCGGGGCCCGCTGCCCGGGGCCCGCTGCCCGCTGCCCGGGGCCCGCTGCCCGCTGCCCGGGGCCCGCTGCCCGGGGCCCGCTGCCCGCTGCCCGGGGCCCGCTGCCCGCTGCCCGGGGCCGGCCGTGGCTGCTGCCCGCTGCCCGCTGCCCGGGGCCCGGGGCCGGCCGTGGCTGCTGCTCGCGTGGGGAGGCTCTGAGCTGCGGCGGGGCCGGGATGGTCTGCAGGGTGAGGGCCTCCGTGAGGGGCTTCTGTGCAGGCGGCGCTGGCTCCGGCCCCTCCTCGGGGCTGTGAGCAGAGTCCGCCCTGGGCTGGGCACCCCGGGCTCCGGGGCCTTCGGGAACGCTGGGCTGACCGGGCCTCTCAGCCTCGGTGCCTGTGGGGCCGGAGGGTTCTCTTCCGGGCTGGCCTGTGGGTGAGGGTTTGCCACGTCCCTGGCCTCTGCCGAGAACACGCCAGCGGCACCCCCCACCCCCCAGCATGGCGGCCAGACACGCCTCAGGACACTGCAGATGCCCCGGGAGGGTCACCCCAGCTGCAGGACCGCCTCCTCAATGAGGAGCAGTGGCCTTGGATCCGGGAGAGCCTGGCCTGGCTGCCCTGCTGGGAGCCCGGGGCCGAGCTCTCCAGTCACCAGCCTCAGGTCTCCCCTCCCCCAACGGGAATGACCCCCCCCCCCCCAACTCAGCACATCTGGCTCAGCGAGTGCCTCCCGCCCCCGCAGCCCTGGTGTCCCTGCTGAACCCGTGCGCCAGCATGAAGGCGTGCGGCCAGGACCAGGCCAACTGCACGGCGCCCACCTACCCCTCCTGCCGCGACAGCGACACCTTCAGCACCTTCCTGCTGGACCTCTTCAAGCTGACCATCGGCATGGGCGACCTGGAGATGCTGAGCAGCACGAAGTACCCCGCCGTGTTCATCGTGCTGCTGGTCACCTACATCATCCTCACCTTCGTGCTGCTGCTCAACATGCTCATCGCCCTCATGGGCGAGACCGTGGGCCAGGTGTCCAAGGAGAGCAAGCACATCTGGAAGCTGCAGGTGAGCCGGCCCCGTCCCCCCAGGGGGGCCCGGACCCACCGCACCTCCTCAGCCTCCCCTCCGCCTCCTGCCTCCACCTCCCTGCCTGTGAGATGGGCACCCAGGTTGTGCCTGCTTCCCAGAGCCCCCTGCTGCGCTGCCAGCGCTTCTTGCCTGACCACCAGCGAGGGTCTCACCCACCGTGGGGTCAGTCACAGGACAAGGTCGCCCCGACACCAAGAGAGCTCAGGGAGCCGGGCAGGCAGCCGGGGTCTGCGCTGAGGCTGGGCAGCTGCCAGGGCCCCCCCCCGCCCCCCCCCCGCCCCCCGTGCTTATTGAGTGGAAGACCGTGGCCTGGGCCTCTGTGGCCGGGAGAGGTGGGGGCGGGGCTGCTTTGCTTCCGGGGGATTCCGGCGATCCTGGGAGGCCGAGGCCTGGGCCCGCTCAGCTCCCGAATCCGGGTTTTCGCAGTCAGTGGCACTGCAGGCCAAGGAGAGGGCGTGGGGAGAGACGGGACCGAGGCCACCCGCCCAGCCGGGCCTCGGCACCGTCCAGGCCGGCTCTGGATCCTCACCCCCAGGCCTCAGTGTCCCCACTGGGTGAGACTCGAACGATGCAGATTGGATTGGATTGGACCAGCAATGATTTATTTTTTCCTTTATCCGTTAAAAAAACTTAATGCAGAGTTCTAAAGCGAAGAGATTTCATGTAAAAATCCAGGCGTGGCCTCTCCTGGCAGGGTGGCCCACATTCTGCCGGGGGGCCAGGAGGTTGGGGGGCCGGGGGGCCGGGGGTGGCTGCCCCTTTGCTGTGTCCCAGTCCCTCCCCCTCCCGGCGCTCCCCACGCCGAGGGGCGGCTGCTGTGCGGGTCCCGCCTCGCCGTTCGTCCTGCGGGTCCGGGGTCCGGGTCAGTAGCTGTCTCCAGGCCTGCGTCCCCGCCCCCGCCTGTCACCCCTGCCCTCAGGGCGGTGGGGGCTCACCGGCCCGCGCCCTCCCCACAGTGGGCCACCACCATCCTGGACATCGAGCGCTCCTTCCCCGTGTTCCTGAGGAAGGCCTTCCGCTCCGGCGAGATGGTCACCGTGGGCAAGAGCTCGGACGGCACCCCCGACCGCAGGTGGTGCTTCAGGTGAGGCGGCGGCCGGGCGGCTGGGGGGACGGCCGGGCGGCCGGGCGGCCGGGCGGCCGGGACGGGGCGGGTCCTCCCGTGAGATGGAGCCACAGGCCCGGAAGGTCCTGCCCGTCGTTCTGTTCCGCTGGCCGAGGTTGGGCGAATCGGTTCGCCCTCAGCCTTGGTTTCCTCATCTGTGAAATGGGCACAGTGCTAGCACCGCCCGGCCCGCTGTGCGATGGGGTGGGTCACCCGGAGACAGTAGCTGCCGTGCACCAGGGACACCGTCTCAGGGCGTCACCCCGCTGACAAACAGCGGGGGCCTCGCTGAGAGGGGAGAGGACCCGGCAGCCTCCCGGGCCTGCCTGTTACCCAGAGGCCCAGCTTCTCCGGGGCCCCCGAGCCAGCCTGCTCTGTGCGGGGGGGAGGGGGCAGCCTGAGAGCTGTCGCGTGAGGGGTCCTCAGCGGGAGGCGGGCGTGGCAGGAGCTCCCAGCTCATAGGCCAGCGGTCTGTCCTGTTCAGTTTGAACCCCGACCCGCTGATCAGCACTGGGACCTGGGCACAGTGACAGCCTCCGCTTCCTTGTCTGTGAACTGTGTATCTTCCTTGCTCCGTCCTAACACGTAGCACTTGCTCAAGAAATGGGGTTTGGGTAAAAGTAACAAAAATAATCTCCAAAAGGAAAAGTCACGTTGAGCCAGTTTGGACTCTGGAGGCTGTGACCTGCCTTCCCGGGCTGCCCCAGCGCTGGGCGGGGGGTGGGGGGGGGGGTAAGAAAGAGGGTGCCCCAGCGCTGGGTGGGGGGGTGGGGGGGTAAGAAGGAGGCTGCCCCAGCGCTGGGGGGGGGGGGTAAGAAGGAGGGTGTCCCAGCGCTGGGCGGGGGGTGGGGGGTAAGAAGGAGGGTGTCCCAGCGCTGGGGGGGGGGGTAAGAGGAGGGTGCCCCAGCGCTAGGGGGGGTAAGAAGGAGGGTGTCCCAGCGCTGGGGGGGGGGGTAAGAAGGAGGGTGCCCCAGCGCTGGGGGGGGGGGGGGAAGAAGGAGGGTGTCCCAGCGCTGGGGGGGGTAAGAAGGAGGGTGCCCCAGCGCGGGGGTGGGGGTGGGGGGGGAAGAAGGAGGGTGCCCCAGCGCTGGGCGGAGGGGTGGGGGGTAAAAAGGAGGGTGTCCCAGCGCTGGGGGGGGGTAAGAAGGAGGGTGTCCCAGCGCCTGGGGGGGGGGGGAGGTAAGCGGGAGGTGTCCACGGCGGGCGTGTGGCTGAGCCTGTGGTGCCACATGAGTGAATTCAAACACGTCATGCTGAGAGAAAGCAGCCAGGCCCAGAGCCGTGTCCTCTGCTGCTCACACGACCCGTCCGTGCACGGGCGGAAAGGAGAAGAGGCAGCCGGGGGCGGGGGCGGTGGTGGGGGCGGGGGCGGGGCCGGGGCAGCTCATTTCTGTGTGGGGATAGAACAGTTTGGGATCAGAGCGTGGTGATGGTGCACAGCCTTGGGGATTTACTTAATGCCCTGAGTTGTATGCAGAAATGGTCAGAATGCACAGGAGGAGGGGGGTGAGCTGGGCTGCCTGGGTGGAGCTCCCCTGACCCTCCTGCGTGGCCACCAGGGTGGACGAGGTGAACTGGTCGCACTGGAACCAGAACTTGGGCATCATCAACGAGGACCCGGGCAGGAACGAGAGCTACCAGTACTACGGCTTCTCGCACACCGTGGGCCGCCTGCGCAGGGGTGAGCGGCCGGGCAGGGGCGGGCGGGGCGGCTGGCGGTCCCTCCTGAGCCCCGGTGGTCAGCCAGCGGAGGGGGAGGCCGGGAGCTGACCGCGGAGTCCTGTGCGAGCCGGGCCTCCCTCCCGCACTGAGCCATGGGACGGGGCAGGGTGCGGGCCAGCCTTGCCTGCCTGACTCTGACAGTGCCGTGTGCGCCGTGTGCGCCGTGTGCTCCGTGTGCTCCGTGTGCTGTGTGTTCTCCGTGTGTTCCGTGTGCTGTGTGTGCGCCGTGTGCTGTGTGTGCTCCGTGCACTTCGTGTGCTCCGTGTGCTGTGTGTGCTGTGTGTGTTCCGTGTGCTGTGTGTGCTCGTGTGCTGTGTGCGGTCCGTGTGCTGTGTGCGGTCCGTGTGCTGTGTGTGCTCCGTGTGCTGTGTGTGCTCCGTGTGCTGTGTGTGCTCCGTGCACTTCGTGTGCTCCGTGTGCTATGTGTGCTCCGTGTGCTGTGTGTGCTCCGTGCACTTCGTGTGCTCCGTGTGCTGTGTGTGCTGTGTGTGTTCCATGTGCTGTGTGTGTTCCGTGTGCTGTGTGCGGTCCGTGTGCTGTGTGTGCTCCGTGTGCTGTGTGTGCTCCGTGTGCTGTGTGTGCTCCGTGCACTTCGTGTGCTCCGTGTGCTGTGTGTGCTCCGTGTGCTGTGTGTGTTCCGTGTGCTGTGTGTGCTCCGTGTGCTGTGTGTGCTCCGTGTGCTGTGTGTGCTTTGTGTGCTCCATGTGTGCGGAGCCGTCTCCGCCCATGAGGTGGGGTCATGAGACCCCCTCGGAGAGCCGGGCGGGCCTGGCACACAGTAGGCGCTCTTATGGGCACGTGCCCGCTCCCCCAGCCCTCACCCTCGCCGCCCTCCCCAGATCGCTGGTCCTCGGTGGTGCCGCGCGTGGTGGAGCTGAACAAGAACTCGAACCCGGACGAGGTGGTGGTGCCTCTGGACACCGTGGGGAACCCCAGCTGCGACGGCCACCGGCAGGGCTACCCCCACAGGTGGAGGACTGATGACGCCCCCCTCTAGGGGCTGCCCCAGGGCCATGGTCCCAGCCCGCAGCCCCCTGCCCCTCCGCCACCATTTTGAGTCCGCCTGCGTTTCAGCCACATGCTCTGTGACCCCGAGGCGAGGGCCCGGCGGAGACACGGGGGCCCCAGGACCCTCTCCCCCGGCCCCCACCCCCCCGCCCCCCATCTCACTCCCATGGAGTCACGGAAGCCAAAGCCGGGCCTCCCGCCCCGGGGCCCCACCCTCCATTATTTATTGTTCTGCTCTCAGGAAAGCAGCGCCCCCTCACCCCCCACGGGACCTGGCAGAGGCCCGGGACCCTGCTCCGGGTCCGGGCGCACCGCTGGCCAGGCCCGCCCGCTCCTGCGCCCGGCCGCACACGGCGGTCTGTAGGGGCTGGGTTCGCTGGTGCTCAATAAACGTTCGTTCTCTGATGTGGAGCTGTGGGGGCGATGGGGGGTGACAGGCCCAGGTCACAGGAGGGAGACGGGAGCTGAGAGGTGCCCGTGGCCGGGGGAGGGGAGACGAGGGCAGTCGCAGTGGCCAAGGTGGTGGTGCTGGTGAGGGCTGGGGCCGGACAGGAGGTGTCGGTGTGGCCTGAGACAGGGTGATTGGAGTGGTGGTGGAGCGAGCAGAGGCGGAGGAGACAGCTCTGGCCAGGTGAGGCCTCAGGGTCGGAGGCAGGAGAGGGGCCGGCCCAGCAGGTGTGCTGTGGTGGAGCTGGAGGCTGCCCGTCTCCTGCCTGGGCAGCGCCCGCCTGGGGTCACTGCTCCTCCGGTCCCACCCGGGCAGCGCCCGCCTCCGGCGCGAGGGGGCCCCCCTGGCACCGCCCGCCACCTTCAGGCTTCGGACCCTCCAGCCGCGCCCAGAGGAGGAGGGACGGGGCCTGTGTCTCCTCTATGAGGGAGGAAGCTCCCTCAGACCCCCAGCCGACCTCTCCTGTGCCATTAGCCGGGTTTGTGTCACGTGTCCCACGCTCCAGCCAGCCAGCAGGCAGGGAGCAGCGGCGTGGCTCCGTGGATAGTGTGTCGGCCTGCAGGCTGAAGGGTCCCAGGTTCTATTCTGGTCCAAGGCACGTACCTTGGTTGTGGGCACATCCCCAGTAGGATGTGTGCAGGAGGCAGCTGATCGATGGTTCTCTCTCATTGATGTTTCTCACTGTCTAGCCCTCTCCCTTCCTCTCTGTAAAAAGTCAATAAAATATACTTAAAAGCAAGAAGCAAGGGAAGTGGGGAGGAAGGCAGTTTCCCCAGCAGGCGGTCCTGCGGGAAGGGAGAATGGAGGAATTCACGTTACCTAGGCAACCAGTAGCGTCTGCTACAGCTGTCCACCCTACATCCCAGCTTTCCCGGGGGGAGGGGGCCAATGGTCAGCAGGCATGGCCGTGGGATGGGCCTGCCCCCAAATCACAACACCCTCTCCACCCAAGGGGCCTGTGCAGCTTCCTGAGGTGTACTCGAAACTCATTCATTAAAGAACTGCAGCGTCACCCTGAGGACAAGGGTCCCGGGTTTGATTCCAGCCCAGAGCGCCTGCCTGGACTGTGGGCTCGGTCCCCAGTAGGGGGTTTGCAGGAGGCAGCTGACCAATGATTCTCTCATTGGTATTTCTCCCTCTCCCTTCCTCTCTAAAACCAATCAATAAATATATTTTTTAAAACTTTGCAGGCTATGAATTTTCCTCTGAGTACGTTTTTATCTTAACACAGAAACTTATGTGCTGGCCGGCTAGCTGAGCTGGTTAGAGGGTCCTCCCAATTCGCCAAGGTTGTGGTGTGGTCAGGGCATCCAGCACGAGTCAACCATGAATGCATAAATAAGCGGAACTACAAATAGAAGTTTCTCTCTTTCTCTCTCTATCCATAAATAAGCAATTTAAACATGTAGTGGCTTTTCCAACTGACCTCATTAATGTTTGATGGTTTGGGTGTTGATTATAACTCAGAAGCTGCTGAGGGGCGATTTAAAAAGTTTTCTCTCCCCAGGAAGATCTTAGGGATGACTTCCCCGGTGTCCCTCCGTGTGGGACACATGGGGGCTCCGCAGTGTTCTCAGGGGCCACGTTGGCTACAGGATCCCTTAGCAAAACACGCCCCACGGCCTCACCGGTGTGGCTCAGTGGATAGAGCGTCGGCTTGGGGACTGAAGGACCAGGTTCTATTCTGGTCAAGGGCATGTACCTGGGTTGTGGGCTCATCCCCAGTGGGGGTTTTGCGGGGGGCAGCTGATCGATCACTCTCTCTCGTTGATGATTCTAGCTCTCATCTCCCTTCCTCTCTGTAAAAAAAATCAATAAAAAATATATTTAAAAAAAATCAATAATATATATATAAAAGCCTGAGGATCCGCACCTCAGAGAGGCGATTAGAGCCAGGGATGGTGTCAGCTTCCCCGAAACCCCAGCGCCCGAGGAGGGCAGCTCCTGAGGGAGTTGGGGTGCTGACAGGTGTGCCAGTGGCCCAAGCCCCAACTCTTGCCTTACCCATGCCTCCCAGCATGGCTTTGTGTGCCTGCCCATGGGGGCTAAGCAGTGTCACCCCTGGTCACATGACCTGTTTTTACCGGATGGGATGCTGGCAGACACACCTGGTCCTGCCCTGGAAGGAGCTGAGAGCTCGGAGCAGGGCTGACCAGGCATGCCGCACTGGGTCAGAGGACCCGCAGACACAGGAGCGGGAGCGGGGCTGGCAGCAGAAGCTGGGCTGGGAGCCACAGGCTCTGTGACTTTTCTTCCGGTGCAGCAGCAGGTTTGGCGCTAACGGACGCAGACTCCAGAAGAAATAGTCAGTAGGCCCCGGGCAGGGCAGCGATGGAATGTCCACTGCCCTCCGTATCAGAGAGAAGAGGCTCAGAGAAGTGATTTCTCCCCAGACACCGGCTGGTGGGTGTGGGTGGGATCTGATCCAGGCCTCTGTCCCAGAGTCCCTCTGGGAAAGAACACAGTGACCTCTAAGGCCAAGGTCACGGGTGTGACCAAGCCCCGGGCGGGGCGGTCGCCTGCGGCTCCTGCTGAGCCCGAGGCCGTCAGCTCCCCTCCAGCCTCTTCCTCTGACCCCGCCCTGTGTTCCGACCAGATCTCTCGTGATGTGCGTGTGCGTGTGCGTGCCGTGCGTTTCCGTGACAAAGCACTCCGTGTCACATTGACAGGCGGGCTTTCTCATCTGCGTGTAAAGCGCGACGGGGAATAATTAGCGTTCCCGGAGCCGCACACAACGGTCCTCAGAAAAGATGTCTCAGGGACTCTCGGCTCCTAATTGAACAATTACCTCTCCTGTCTGTAAGTCGTTCGTTATCATGTGCCCTGTTATTATTGGCTGTTATTGTTTTAGATGATTGCTGGGGGTTTTTAAAAATCAAAAGCCGTTCTCACCCACAGTGCTCCTCTCCCCAGACCCGCCCTCTGACAGTCCCGAAGGTCAGTGGGCAGTGGTGTCTATCCCGATCGCCCGGCTGTGTCGTCAGGGCCGTTAACTAACCCAGACCTTCGTTCCTGGTCACTGCACTTTGCCACCGGGGGAAATGTTTGCATGATACCAAGCCCCTCTGCCTTTATGTTTTATTTTATTAATTTTTATTTTTATTTTTTAAATATATTTTATTGATTTTTTTTTTTTTAAAGAGAGGAAGAGAGAGGGATAGAGAGCTAGAAACATCAATGAGAGAGAACCATCGACCAGCTGCCTCCTACACACCCCTTACTGGGGATATGCCCGCAACCAAGGTACATGCCCTTGACCGGAATCGAACCTGGGACCTTTCAGTCCGTTGACTGATGTTCTATCCACTGAGCCAAACCGGTTTTGGCCTGCCTTTACGTTTTAGACTCCAAAGCCTTTGGAGGGATCGTTGCTCATCACGAGTGTAGGCCTGAGACAGAGCAGGGTGGCCCTGGGGCCTGAGGACAGGAGGGGGCTCGCAGTCAGGCCCCGCCCTGCGGGGAGGGCAGCGGCAGGGTCAGGAGTCACACGCAGGCCCGGCCACTGTCACCGCGTCCCTGGAGCCGTGAGCAGGGCCGTGGGCTGCGCCGCTGTCCCCAGCCACGGCCTCTTCCTTAGCGGCAGCGCTGTCTGCAGCTCCCGCTGGCCGCCGCCTCCCCAGGCTGGCCTGTGAGCTGAGGGCACCCGAGGGGAGGCAGAGGGGATAGAGGAGCAGGGAGGCCCTGCCCTCTCTGCCGGCACCGTGGGGCCCGATGGGCCGGCCGGAACCGCACAGCCGTCCTGTGACCAGGAAGGGCCGGGGGAACCGGAGACGAGAGGGCACGGGGCCTGGATGACACGGAGCGGCCGAGGTAACCAGCTCCGGCCCTCCGAGGGGTGTCCGAGAGGATCCTCCTTCTTACTTAAAGGCCACCGTTTCCTCGTACTCTGCCCAGCTCATGCAGACGCAAGGACAGGCTTTCATCCCCGTTTTACAGATGGAGATAGTGAGACCCAGGGAAGTGGACTTGCCTAAGGACACACGGCCAGGACTTGTGGGTCTGACCGCTGTCTCAGGAGGAGAAACTTCCTGGAGGGGCAGGAGTGCTTTTCTGAGGGGTGTGTGGCCCAGCCCCAGTTCCGAGCCCCGAGTCTTCTCAGCCCCGAGGTACTCAGTGACGTCAGACAGCCCCCCATGGGACCCATCCCGGAGGCCTTTGGCCTGAGCAGGGTGGGACAGCTGGTCCTGGAGACCCACCACCAGGGGTCACTGTGGTCAAACCCGGAGCCGAATCCCGGGCGGCTGGAGGAACACTGGACCCAGGCACCACGGTGGGCCTTCCTTGCTGGGCTTCCCTCCCGTGTGCCCGAGGCTGTAAGACTCAACCCCCCTACTTACCCCCCCCCCACTCCTGTTCTCCCCAACCCTCAATTCAGAGGGGGCTGCCTAGATCTGCCTCTGGGTAGCTGCTGTGTGCCCTTGGGCAAGTTGCCATCCCTCTCTGATCCTCACTTTTCTTTTTCAAAATAGGGGTATTCATTCCCACTTCTCCAACGAGGGCCCCCTTTCTCTCCCCGGGGGTCTTTCCCTCCCTTTGGGCCGAGGTTGACCGGTGTACGAAGACCATTTAGGGTGCGGTGGCCCCAGCATTGAGGCCGGACTCCAGGTCAGGGCTGGATTCCAGGCCTTGCTCTGCTGCAACCTCATTAGGAGTCTTTGTGGTGCAACGGGGGGAACTGAGACCCAGGCAGGAGCAGGGACTTGCTCCGGAGGTGGGACTTAGCACGCCCGAAGCCCGGTTTATTCCCGGGAAATTACAGGTGAAACACGAACACTTAGGTCAGAGGTGGGAGACGCCGGGCTACAGTGGAGGGCGTCTTGCCTGCAGGACTTCCAGAGCTTTCACTGCGGAGGCTCTCCAAGAGGCTCTGAATCTAGCTCTCGGATGTGTCTGACTTGGAACCCGCCTTCCGAGGTGGACATCGGCGGGCCCGGGTGCTGACAGAGATGCACTGGCTCGGGGGCATCTCCTACGGACAGGCTCTGAGGGACTGACCACCGTCTCCCACGCTGAACCCACGTGGGACTCACAGCGGAGACGCAGGCCGTGCCCAGAGGGCGGCCACGGCCACAGTGCGAGGGGCGGCCCTCACAGGACCCGTTCCCGTCATCCTGGTCCCGTGTCACCCGGGCCCCTGGCAGGCGTCACCACGCCCTTTGACAAACCACGAATCGAGGCTCAGCCCACCTGGGTGGCTCCGTGGCTGAGCGTCGACCCATGAACCAGGAGGTCAGAGTTGGATTCCTGGTCAGGGCACATGTCCGGGTTGTGGGCTCCATCCCTTGTAGGGGGTGTGCAGGAGGCAGCTGGTCCATGGTTCTTCCTCATCATGGGTGTTTCCACCTCTCTCCCTTTCCCTTCCTCTGAAATAAAAATAAAAAATAAGAAAGCATTGAGGCTCAGTGTGATCTGGCCACACGGAGGCCAGGCTTTTGCCTCCTCTTCCTCCTGCCACTCTCCGGCGAGCTGGTGATGGTGGTGACTGCACCAGGTTTGCCCACCGCACTGGCCAGGCTCCATCTTCCAGCGGCCAGGACGGGGGGCAGGGGACCGCCTGGGCCCTTTAAGACAGCCGAACTCGCAGGCGCAGTGCAGCGTGTGGGGTGCGGGGTGTGGGATCCCAGCGGCCACTGGGAGCAGAGTTCGCAGTCGCTGAAGGCAGGGGTCGAGCTGGTCTGAGCTCCCCTCCCAGAAGCAGGGAGCGCTCTGAGGCTGGGATGGAGCCAAGAAGACCAGGCGCCCAGAAGGGGGGTGCCCTGTGTGGGTGCCTCCGGGAGGTTCCAAAGCCTGCGCCCTGGCAGCTCCGAGGTCTCAGCCGGGCAGTTAGTGGTGGCTGGGGAGGTCACGTGCTAGCCACAGGCCCGGCGGCCAGCTCGGCTCCAGGTGTGCGAAGGGGAGCGGAGGAGACGGGGGTGGGGTGGGGGGGAGGAGAGGAATATGGCGGCTGGGCTGGGGGCTGTCAGGGTGCAGGTCCTTCTCTGCCCTTTCAGCAGGAAGTCCCCGCAGCCCGGACCCGGATTCTGGAGCCACATGACCACCTTGGGCCACTTCTGGCCACAGCAGAGCAGCTGGGAGCTCAGACCTGAGCCGGAGGCCTGCATTTCCCCCGCCCTCGCCCTCCGCCCCCCCCCGCCCCCCCCCCGGCCCCCTGGCTGTGAGCTGGACTGCCCTCCGGCCCCTCGCCCTCCGCCCCCCCCCGCCCCCCCGCCCCCCCGGCCCCCTGGCTGTGAGCTGGACTGCCCTCCGGCCCCCCGCCCTCTGCCCCCCCAGCCCCCGCCCCCCCGCCCCCCCGCCCCCCTGGCTGTGAGCTGGACTGCCCTCCGGCCCCTCGCCCTCCGCCCCCCCCCCCCGGCCCCCTGGCTGTGAGCTGGACTGCCCTCCGACCCTCGCCCTCTGCCCCCCCGCCCCCCCCCCCCCGGCCCCCTGGCTGTGAGCTGGACTGCCCTCCGCCCCCCCCCGCCCCCCCGCCCCCCCGCCCCCCTGGCTGTGAGCTGGACTGCCCTCCGGCCCCTCGCCCTCCGCCCCCCCCCCCGCCCCCCCGCCCCCCTGGCTGTGAGCTGGACTGCCCTCCGGCCCCTCGCCCTCCGCCCCCCCCCCGCCCCCCCGCCCCCCTGGCTGTGAGCTGGACTGCCCTCTGCCCCCCCCCCCCCCCGCCCCTCCGCCCCCCCGGCTGTGAGCTGGACTGCCCGCCGGCCCCTCGCCCTCCGCGCCGCTGGCACCTGTTAAGGCACGCGCCGTGCCCGCCCCCCGCGGGTGGTCCGGGTCAGGGACGTGCCAGCTGGGTCAGGGCCGGGGAGGCGGTAGGAGCGTACGTTTGCACCAGGGCCTGTGACAGTGGCTTCCTGACACCGGTTTGTGGGAAGCTGCAGAACCCGGGGCTCAGGGAGGACTCGCTGTGCGCTGAGCGGCGCCCCTGCCCGCGGGAACTGGCTGCTGGCCGCGGCGGGCAGCAGGCTCACCGACTGCGCCGTGTGGTACTCAGAGGGCAGACGGCGTGAGGGCGGGGCGGGCGGTGCTGGGGCCGTTTGGATCGGCTGGCTCCGTCCCAGGGAGAAGGAACCCGCCGCCAAGCACCCAGGCCTCTGCCAGGACGGCCGGGACCCCAGCTGGGCCTGGGCCCCCCCCACCCTGGGTGCCAGCAGAGAGAGAACGAGGTTTCCAGGACGGGAGGCGGGGCCTCAGCCCACCTGCAGTCCTCAGGGCCCCTGGAGGCGGTCTGTCCTCTCCTCCTCCTCCTCCTCCCGATCCCAGTTGGGTGGGCCACCGAGGCCATGGGGTGCTGAGGTGGCCCCGGGGCTGCTTTTCTCCTGGGATCCCGTCTGGGCTGGCTGGAGGGGACGGCTCAGAGCTACAGAGGATCAGACGCAGCCTCACTGCAGAGGCGGGGGCTGGCGTCCTCCGGGCCCGGCCTGTGAGGGCCCCAGCGGCTTCGGCCACGTCTGAAGATGGAGGCAGCCTGATGGGGTGTGGGGTTGATGGCAGAGCTGTGCCCCCCTTCTGTGTCCTAACGGGAGGTGGTGGTGGTGGGGGTGGTTTTAGTTCACACCTGGGAGAGGTGTTGTGAGGTCAGAAAGCACCGACAGCCACAGTTACATCCCTTTATCCTCCTGTGGCCTCCACCCGGCCCTGCCCAGCCCAGCCCGGCCCTGCCCACCTGGCCCTGCCCACCCAGTCCTGCCCAGCCCGGCCTTACCCTGCCCAGCCCGGCCCTGCCCAGCCCAGCCCTGCCCACCCTGGCCCTGCCCACCCTGGCCCTGCCCAGTCCGGCCTTACTCAGCTCGGCCCTGCCCACCCCGGCCTTACCCTGCCCAGCCCAGCCCGGCCCTGCCCAGCCTGGCCCAGCCCTGCCCACCCTGGCCCTGCCCACCCTGGCCTTACCCTGCCCAGCCCAGCCCGGCCCTGCCCAGCCCGGCCCTGCCTACCTGGCCCTGCCCAGCCCGGCCTTACTCAGCTCGGCCCTGCCCACCCGGCCCTGCCCAGCCCGGCCTTACCCTGCCCAGCCCGGCCTTACCCTGCCCAGCCCGGCCTTACCCTGCCCAGCCCAGCCCGGCCCTGCCCACCCAGCCCTGCCCAGCCCGGCCTTACTCAGCTCGGCCCTGCCCAGCCAGCCCATCCCGGCCTTACCCAGCCCATCCCGGCCTTACCCAGCCCAGCCTGGCCTGGCCCTGCCCACCAGCACTCTGCGGACCCCGTTCCCTGGTAGGGGTGACATGACCCAACTCAGGTCCTGAGTCCCCCCGAACGTGGCCCCTTCCTCTCGGAGCCTCCATGTGCTGCCAGGCTCGGGCCTGGGCATTCCCTCTGCCCCCTCCTCTGCCAGGGCCTCACCGGCCAGGCACCCAGCGGAGCTCCATGGGCCGGGGGCTGACGGGGTGCAGCCCCAGGAGGGGAGGCCCCCTCTGCCCCGATGCCGGCTGCAGGCCGCTGGCCGAGGCAGGATGGACGTGAGGAGGAGTCCTTGCTGTGGGTCCGAACCCCCTTTCTGCAGACCTGCTGTGTGACCACAGGCAGGTCACTTCCCCTCTCCGAGCCTGCGTCTTCCTCTAGGGGTGGTGGGCCCAGTGAGACGCGTGCCTGTGAAATGCCCAGCACAGGAAGTGCTAAAACAGGCCGAGCCCTCGGGTGGGGGGTCGCCAGGCACCAGGGCGCGGGGCGGGTGTGCTGGGCTGCCTGGGGAGGTGCCACGGCCCAGCCACGCTGGCCGGTCCCAGCCACACGTGTCCCTGTGGAAGCTGGGACCATGTAGGACACAGAGGAGAGCTGGGAAGGGACTTAGTGACGGGGTGCGGGGTGGGGACCCCGTCCAGACCCCTCCGTAGGGTTCCTGGAGGAGCCTCGGCCCCAGGGGGCTTCTCGGCTGCTCTGCGGAGGGACCTGGGCCTGACCACGTGGCTGACGCGGACAAGGCAATCGACCACGTCCACCCGGGGCCGGGCGTGGGGGGCAGGGGCCTGGCCTGTGGGGGCGGCGGCACACTCCACTCCCAGGGGCAGGAGAAAGCGCAGAACAATCCACAGCAGACGCCACCTTTTCCTTTTCTCCTTCCTCTTCGTTTTTAAAACAATACAGTGCAGACGGCACTTCTCACAGTAGAATATAATGGTCAATTTCCGTATAAAAAACATTCTCAGAGATTTGTAAATGCACTTAGTGCTCGACAGGCCTTGGAGAGATACAGTACCGCTTCCGGGGCCAGGGGCCGGTGGGGGGCGGGCCCGGGGGCCGGCCGCCTCCCTCGCCCGGATGGTGTGGGGGCTCTGGGGGTTCCGGCAGGAAGGGAGCTGCCCGGGGTCTCCCAGTGAAAACCAGCAGCTCCCGCCCCGGCTCCCCAAGAGGCCCCCGAGGACGGTGGGCAGTCCCTTGTGCGAATGGGGGGGCACCCGCCTCAGGCTCAGGGAGGTCCCCTCACAGACACACGTCTGGGGGCGATGCGTCCCCCAGACGAGGTGCCCTGTGCGATGCTGGTGCGGCCCACGCTGTGCCAGCAGCCCGGGGGGCCCCGGAGAGCAGGGAGGGGCGGGAGCCGGGGTGGGGAAGGGGGTGGGGTGCGGTTTCTCTGTGTTGGGAAGGAGTGAGGGGGGGGAGGAGAGCCTAAGGTGGGGGGGGGGCCGGTGGTCCCTGGAGCCCCCATGAGTGGCATTCACCTGGGTTGGCTGGTGGGGGGCCCTGCGGGACCGCTGACTCCTCTGCCGCTTCCCCAGGTGCCCGGGGGGGGGTGTGGGGGCTGTCTGACCCCGGGGGGCTATGGGCCCCCCTGACCTAAGCCCACATGTCTTCCTGCTCCCACCCTGGCCCGAGCTCCTCTCCGGAGAGCTAGAGGAACACGGCGGGAAGGTGGGCTCTCCCTGCCCTCTGCCTGGCCCTCCCCGTGCTGGGGGGCCGCAGATGTGGGCGGCGGGGCCTCGGTGAGCCAGGTCACCTGCCAGACCTCCACGGGCCCGGAGCGGCCAGCCCGGCTTCCCGGCGGCACCCGGGGCCCCTGCGCTTCGGCCGCTGTCCTCGCCCGCCTCCCGCCGGCGCCCTGTCCGTCCGTCCGTCCGTCCGTCCGCGCCGCCGGGCGGGCCTTATCTGTAGACGGGCAGGCGGATGTGGGCGTGCTGGTGGTCGAGCAGCCGGGGCACCGCCACCGTCTCGTAGCCCTTGCCCAGCATCTGCTCCTTGATGCAGGGCGGCCGCAGGTCCTTGATGAGATACTCCAGCGACTGCAGGCTGCTGCTCAGGGCGGCCGAGCCGCAGGCGCCCCTGCTGGGCAGGCCCGGGAGGGCCTCGGCGGGCGGCGCCCCCAGCTCCCGGGCGCCCCCGGGGCCCCGCTCCGCCCCGGCCCCCGCCGGGTTGTAGCCGTCGCTGGTGGGCGTCACCAGCGTGCTGTTCCAGGGCGCCGCGAGGTACTGGCCCACGGCGAGGCCGGGCAGCCCCACGCCGCGGGTGAGCGGGGACCCGCCCGGCCGCGCGTACGCCCGCCCCGCACACGCCTCCGGGGACTTGCCGCTGAAGGCCCGCGGGGGCGGGGGCGGCGGGGGCGGCTTCTGCGGCCACAGCAGGTAGTCCAGGCTGCCGTCCACGCACCGCGCCGGCTTGGCGGCTCCGGCCAAGGTCAAGGCCGCGCTCCCCGGGCCCAGCTCGGCGCCTCTGCGGCAGTCGGGCAGGCCGGCGGCCGAGTAGGCCAGGCCGGGGAAGCTGGGCACCAGGCCGTGCTTGGCCGGGCTGGGCTGGGGCACGGCCGCGGCCTGGCAGGCGACGGGGGCCGCGCCCGGGGCCTGGCACTGCTGGTTGAGCTGGTAGAGGATGCTGTGGATGGAGGGCAGGCTGGAGGGCGGCAGGGCCTGCCCGCGGCCGGGCAGGGGGATGGCGGCGGCGGCCGCGGGCAGGCCGGGCGGCGGGGCGGGCGCCTCGGGGGGCTTGGGGTAGGCCAGGGGCCCCAGAGTGCTGGGCGCCGGGTAGGGCGCGACGCCCACCTGCACAGCGGCCGGCGACAGCTTGGTCCGCTTGCCCTCGGCGCTCTTGAGCACGCCCTTGACGGGCGCGGCGGGCGCGGCGGCGGAGGAGACGGCGGCCTTGACCACGGCCAGCAGGCCCTGGTAGCCGGCGGGCGGCGGGTAGGGGCCGTGGCGCTGGCCGCACGTGTCGTAGCCGTTGACGGTGCGGCCCAGGTGCTTGTGCTGCGGCACGCGGATGGTGGTGGGGAAGATCTTGATGGACAGCGGGCTGTTGGCCACCTTCTCGGCATAGGCGTCCAGCTCGGCCGGGCTCGGGTAGCGGGAGGAATGCATGGAGCTGGCCGCCGTCTCGCCTGGGGGACCGGAGGAGAGGGAAGCACAGTGAGCACTGAGCAGTGACATGGGAGGCCTGGAGCCGCCCCCACGCCCACCGCCCCTCCTTCCCCTGTGCTGGTAAGCTCCATGGAGTGTAAGAGAAGGAGTCAGACTCCTCCTGTGACCATGCCTGGGGCCGGGGGTAGGGAGTGGCCAGTGTCCCGAAGGCCTGGCCCCTCCCAGCCGCCAGCCTGCCTGGTCGGCGGGCCTCCCGTCTGCTCACTGAGGACCAGCACCTGGTGCTCCTGGTGAGGTGGTGCGGGCGGCACTGGCATTGTGCCCGCAGGTCGGGGCTGACTCGGTGGCCCTCGGGCTGGCCTGTGTGATCAGCGAGTTCTGTAGGGATCGTGCCCCTGACAGAGCCGCTGGGACATGGGGAGGCAAATGCTCAGCTTTAGGAGAAAAGGCCCCCCAGTTTGCCCAGGAGCCTGCCAGGCACATGCCACCGGCAGAGCCCAGGAGTCCACGCCCACGCGCTTGGTGCTGACTTGGTTACGGAGCCTGTGGGTGCGCACGCCTGCTCCCCCTTTCCTCACCCGGCAAACGGGGGTTCGGGCACTGGTCTGTGAGCAGGCCTGGCGGGAGGGGGCCGCTGCGGGCATGCACCTGGCGCCCCAGGTCCTGTCCAGTCAGCGGGCGTGAGGGACAGCGCCCTGGCTGCCCAGCCCCATCCTGCGAAGCCGCCGCCGTGTCTGTGGACTGTGCTGTGTGGGCCGCGGGCACAACCGGCCCACCACGGGGAGGCAGGTCGCAGTGGGCCGACCCCTTCTCCCACCCAGAGCCTCTCCCCGTCCCAAGACACTCCTCAGTGCTGCCAGGGCCCTGTCTGAGGCAGGGGCCTGCCCCAGGGCGACGGAAAGACCCTGCCCGGGCTTGGGAGCTGGCTGGCCTGGCTGTAGGGCTGTGTGGCCTGTGCAAGTCGCTTGCAAAGCTGAGCCTCAGTTTTCTCACCTGTGGAATGGGTGCCAGGTCTGCAGGGTGACCTGGATTGTAGCAAGGGGCCCAGCAGCTGGGGAGGCGCACAGCAGGTGCTGGGAGATGGGGACCTGTCCGGGCCCTTGGGGGACGGGGGAGACCCTACAAGGTTTCAGAGGCAAACTGCCTTCCTGTCCTGTGCGCGCCCCCAGGACCACCAGTGCCTCCCGGGGGACTCAGGAGGGGCCTTCGCCACCCGGCACCTCAGTTTCCACATCTGTAAAATGGGTGTGCTGCTGACACTGCCTCCCAGAGGCTGTGAGGTTTGACAAGTCGCTGGCAGTGCAGTTAGCAGAAGCGGGTGCTCTCCGCGTCTGCGTCATCCTTCCCGGGCCTGCGCCAGGCCTTCCGGGAGAGGGAGGGGCGGGCCTGGCGCAGGTGGGCCTGGCGCTGTGGCTGCCCTCCCACAGCCTCACCACGGCCCCTCCGGGCCCACAGCCAATGTGGGCAAACGCATGCTCTGCTGGGAAGCCGGCAGTGGGGGCGCTGGGGAGCCAACCCAGCTGGGCTCCAGAAGTGCCTTAAAAAAAAAAATCTATATCTATATATATCTTTTATATATATATTATATTTTTTAGAGAGAGGAAGGGAGAGGGACGGAGCTAGAAACATCGATGAGAGAAAAACATTGATCAGCTGCCTCCTGCACACCCCCCACTGAGGATGTGCCTGCGACCAAGGTACATGCCCTTGACCGGAATCGAACCCAGGACCCTTCAGTCCGCAGGCCGACGCTCTATCCACTGAGCTAAACCGGTTAGGGCCAGAGATGACTTTTGGAAGAAAGGGCACCCAGTTCAGGCCGTGGTGAAAGGGGTGCGAGGGAGGGAGATGCCAGTGGGAACTGTCAGTAATTCGGAGGCAGCAGCCAGAGCCGTGTGCAGAGGCCCAGAGCCGTGTGCAGAGGCCCAGAGCCGTGTGCAGAGGCCCAGAGCCGTGTGCAGAGGCCGTGCTCGGGCTGAACCGCACAGAGAGGGCCTCCTCGCCGAGGGCAGCGGCTCTCACAGCGTCCTGCCCAGGGCTCGCTGCTGAGGTCCAGAGCTGCACTCCATGTCACACCTCGAGGGGGCGCTACTGGTATCTGGTGAGAGAGGGGCTGCTGAACATCCGCGATGCACAGCACAGCCCCCACAGAGACTGTCAGGGCCCCGAGGGCCAGCAGTGCGGGGGAGGCTGGCCCCGGCCCCGGGCAGCCAGGGAGGCTCAGCAGGGAGCGCAGGGCGGTTGGCACGTTAGGAAGGCCATCCACTCTGCCCCGCCCCCCCTTCCCGGTGCAAGGATGGGGCCTGCTGGGCCGGGCAGCAGGGAGGGGAGGGGATGGGAGAGGAGGGTAGGGGAGAGGAGAGGTGAGCAACAGGGAGGGGAGGGAAGGAGAGGGGAGGGGAGAGGCAGGCAGCAGGGAGGGGAGGGGATGGGAGAAGAGGGGAGAGGCGGGCAGCAGGGAGGGGAGGGGATGGGAGAGGAGGGGAGAGGCGGGCAGCAGGGAGAGGAGAGGCGGGCAGCAGGGAGGGTAGGGGAGGGCCAGGCAGTAGGAAGGGGAGAGGCGGGCGGCGCCGGAGGAGGCTGGAGCAGTGTGCTCGTACCTCGGGCCTGACCTGGCCAGACAGGCGGAGTGGCCAGGGGCCCCGTCCGGACCCCAGGGGCAGCCCCCACCTAAGTGCCTAAAGTCAGCTCGGTGTGGAGAATGGAAATGTCACTTGGCCGGCGGGCGGGGATCTTCTCTGGGGTTGGACTTAAACTACATTATACAAGCAATTTCATGGGCACTTAGCACCGCTCGGAGGGGCCTGCGGAAGGGGCCAGCTCTGCTTTCCAGCCATAAATCAGCAGTTGCTATAATGAGCACAAAAATGTCACTTTTATGCAATTTTACAGATGAACAAAACTGGTGAAATTAACTGTGGTAACCTACTATAGTCAGCAAAAGCAGCTGCCGGGGAAAAATTATATCTGTATGTATTTTTGTGCCTCTTAAACTCTCTGCCCAAGCAAGTTTCTGCCATTGTGGTGTGAAAACTCATTTGTCCTCACCATTATACTTCCATTTGGAGTTTATCTTGAGTATCCAATGAGCCACCAACTGTGAAAATGATTAAATCTACAAAATCTATCTAATGGATGGAATAAATTAGGTGTTTAAACCAAGCGGAAGGGGCGGGGAAGGAGTGCTGTTCCAGCTCCCGCTCATTGGAAGGAGGGCCCAGCGGGCTCCTCGGGGGCTGGTCCCTCTGGCTCTTCCTGGACCAAAGGTGGGGGCACAGCGGAGGCTGCCCTTGGGGGAGCAGGAGGCCCCGCTCTTCTGGGCCCCTCTTGTCTGGAGCACTGACAGCTCTGAGGTGGGAGGGTCCCCATTCCAGAGGAGCAAGCAGACAAGCTGTGGCACTGGGAAGGCGGGCTCCAAGACCCCCATGTCCTCTATGGTCCCTTCCCACTCCGAATGCGGCCGACCTCTACACCCCACAAGGGAAGGAGTGTGGGGCCCGGGGGCGGGGCTCATTCTCTCTCGGATCACTCCCTCTGGGAGAGGCAGCTGCCGCGGCGGACTCCTGCACCAGCCTGGGAGCCTTCCTGGGAGCGGCCCTCCAGCCCGGGTCAAGCTTTCGGATGGGCGCAGCTCCGGCCGGCCTCTGATGCGGGAGATGAGGAGCAGAGCTCCCAGCTAAGCCACTGCTGGGCTCCCGGCACACAGAAGCCGTGGGAGCCCCCGCACCACCGTTCATTGCTGCCCAGCAAGAGGGAACGAACACGCCCTCGCCTCTCGGAGGAGGGGATGGAAGCTCAGACCTGGGGCAGAGCCGGGTTTGGACCTGGTCTGCTTCCCGAGTCCTCTCCTCCCACGTCTGCCGCCTCTCCCTCCGCGCCAAGGCGGCCCCCGCGGGAGCAGAAGACTCCAAAAGCTCTCCCTCTCCTTCCACAGCCCGGGAGGAGGACTTCTGGGGTGGCTGTCAATCCTCCCCCGAGGGGCTTTCCCATTGGTTGTCAGAGGGAAGAGGCGGAGAGACACGTCGATTGGTTGCTTCCCGCATGTGCCCTGACCAGGAGGAGCCTGTGACCGAGGTCTGTGCCCTTGACCGGAATTGAACTCACGGCCCTTCGGTGTGCAGACCGATGTCCTGTCCACGGAGCCAAAGAGGAGGACGATCTTAACCAGCCTTGAGGCTCAGAGAGACAGGTGACCCCTCAGAGGCCAGGCGGGCAGGCAGCTGCTGGCCTGGCTCCTGCTCTGTCCTGGCGATGCCAGCTGGCGCCTGAGCCCGTCCTGCCTGGCAGTGCTCCTCGGGGTCCTGGGAGGGAGACTGCAGGGGGCCCTCAGGTCACGGGGTCCCCGCCTCACACCTGGCCGCCGTGTGGCCCTGCTGCACAGGTGCTCCTGGGCCCTGGCGGCTCACACAGCCTTTCCCTCCAGAGCGCAGGCCGTGGCTGGGGCCGGAGGCGGCCGGCCACCTGTGCTCAGGGTCACGGTGCAGCCCGTTTTGGCAAATGCAGCGGCACAGGACGAGGCCTCAGTGACGGTGCAGCAGAGCCAGCTGTGCGCGGAAGCTCCAAGCCAGGCATCTTCAAACTACGGCCCGCGGGCCACATGGGGCCCGCAGAGGAGTCTGATCCGGCCCGCCAGGTTTTTTGGGCAGTGAGCGCAGCCGAGGTGTTACAGTAGGAATTAGTAGTTCATATAGTCCGGCCCTCCAGCTCTCTGAGGGACCGTGATCTGGCCCCCACTTTAAAAAGTTTGAGGACCCCTGCTCCAAGCCATGGTGAGAGGGGGCAGAGCTCGTGGGGTGACGGCAGGCAGGGGAGGGGCCCCATGGCGAGGGGACCCCCCAGTTCCACGGCCTGGGCTTCGTCCCCGCAGGCCCTGAATCTGACTGCGTGGGCTGTCCCCCTCCCCCTCGCCGCTGGCCTCGACGTGGGCTCCCTGGGCTGCTCGCTCACTGCCATGACCCCGCCACCATGGGGCAGGCGCACAGGGAGCCGTGGAATGACCAGAGGCTGTGGCACCGGCACA